AGTTTACATAATAATTTTACATAATTTTACATAATAATTTCACACATAATAATTTTGCAATAATTCCATGTTGACCACTGTTCAAGGATTAATTTCACGGTAAAGCGAGTTTTTCTTGAACTTTCTTTGAGACTTTTTTTATGGAGGAACTACAACACGTTTTGCGGTTTAAAAATTTTTTTGGGTTAAGAAAGTTAAAATTGCTGGCACTGGCTATTTCGAGACACGGTCGAATTCCAAAATGTTGACCCATCTCGCATTGCAAGTGCACGAACAAAAGAAAAAATAACAATTAAAAAAGTGGCGATACCGCGAAATTTGATTATCGATTTTACCTACGGATTTGTTAATATTGAGAGCCTATAAAAGTGTAAAAAATAAAATTTTTCGATCGGTTCTAGAACGGGCACAAGGCACATGTATACTNATAATTTTACATAATTTTATATAATAATTTCACATAAGTTTACATAATAATTTTACATAATTTTACATAATAATTTCACATAAGTTTACATAATAATTTTACATAATTTTACATAATAATTTCACACATAATAATTTTGCAATAATTCCATGTTGACCACTGTTCAAGGATTAATTTCACGGTAAAGCGAGTTTTTCTTGAACTTTCTTTGAGACTTTTTTTATGGAGGAACTACAACACGTTTTGCGGTTTAAAAATTTTTTTGGGTTAAGAAAGTTAAAATTGCTGGCACTGGCTATTTCGAGACACGGTCGAATTCCAAAATGTTGACCCATCTCGCATTGCAAGTGCACGAACAAAAGAAAAAATAACAATTAAAAAAGTGGCGATACCGCGAAATTTGATTATCGATTTTACCTACGGATTTGTTAATATTGAGAGCCTATAAAAGTGTAAAAAATAAAATTTTTCGATCGGTTCTAGAACGGGCACAAGGCACATGTATACTAAATGTACACCTAAATTGTGAAGGCAATTGTTTAAGTGGATTTTGCGGCATTTAATTACTATTTAATTTATAACAATACTTTCATTCGCTGCTTTAATCCATATTATCACTGTCATACTCATTGACAAAGTTATAATTCTTATTTATTACCAATGCTTATATAAATTCTTATTTTTCATTAATCCTTAAAATTAAGAATTCGAACGTATGGTTCTGTAAACGTATTTTTATATTCCTGAAGGTAATGTAAAAGGATCGTTTTTTTCAAAGGTTCACATCAGAAATACCTCGTCAAAGGTTTAATAATTACGTTGCCGTAATCGCACTCGGCGAACTCGTATTTTGACTGGCAACGGAATTAAACCAATACGGATAATATTGAAAAATGCAGCCGCTTGCACAGCCGTTGATGCGTTATTACGCAAGTTACACTCGGACAAATATTAATTCGCGTGTTTCTACTGACATATTCGAGAGTGATTTTTGTACGATAATTTTTGCTCTCCTTGGTTCCTCGCCCGTGATTTTCGTTTTCTGCTCCACATTTCGAGGATTCAGCACCGGGAACGCGAAAGCTTCAATTGCAATAATATTTCGTGCGAAAGCTTTTATTTACTTCCGTAATTACAATCCCGTTCTACATCGGTGCCGGGCGGTTCGGTGTTTGAATACGCGACGCCACGCTCTCGCACGGACAAGGGACGATACGTGTTCCCTCTTCACTCAAACGAAGCCGTGCGTCTATAAATGTTGCCTGTATGTGGGGCACACGGGCACACCGGCACGCGACCCGTGTATCTCTACACGCGACACACAGTTTTACGAAATCCCTCACACAGAAACCGTTCGTATACGTATACAGGGTGTTCACGAAGTCGCCAGCCAGCGGATTTCTTTTTGTACATGAAAAACACGTGGAAAACATTAACGTGGAAAACGTTTCAGCCATCCCTGTAAACAACGTAACGGCGTTCGAACAGTTTTCTGTGTTTACGGTGTTTTTGAAGACACGGCAGAGGTATTTATTTGTTAAATAGAATGTTACGTTTATCTGAAAATGCTATATCTTAAATAGAGCGTTATGATGAACGACTGTAGATTTTTATGTTAAATAAAAATGATCTACAAGTGTGGTAAAACAGACGAGTTTCCTCTAACAATTTTATCAAATCAAGAGCAGTGTATCGACACTCTTTAAGTCCTTGTAATTTTTCTATTGGTTTTCTATTTTTTATAATTTCCATTGGTTCTATTTTTTTTATAATTTCTATTGGTTCATCATTTTTATCGTATCGTACATCATCATTTTCACCGTAAATGCATAAAATATAGTAGTATCATTTTTATCGTAAATGCATAATATTCGCAGTCTAGTTATGTGCTTCCGTATGATTCAATGAATAATATCAAGGTAGTGTGTGTTCAGTAGCAGTATTCATTATTGTATTTAGTGCGCATTGTGTTGACTGTTGATAGAGCTACAATGTGGGTTTCAAATGAAATATTTGAACCGTTCTTTTCGGATGTAATTAGACCGCGGACTTTTGTACGAAGTGCAGATTTTATGCATTAATCGTAAAAACTGGAAGTTCAATAAAAATGTATTGCTTTTATTAACACTAGATTGCCCAAGGAAGTCATTTTGACTGCTCTTTAATTTCAATTAGAGAAAAAATTGTGTATATAATGATACAATTTCTTAGAATTCTGTGACTTTTTGTACAACATATAAATGCGTGTATTAATAATTGTAGTTGCCTCCCCCCCTCCTTCATTTCCGGTATATATATATATGTGTTATACCTATATTGCCCAAAAGCAGTCGTTTTGACTGCTTGGGAAATTTAAAATAATCAAATGACTCTTATTATTGAATTGAGTAAATTTCTTATATGACCAGTTCGGCTCTGTATTGAAATATATTTTTCATTTTTCTCGATTACCGTTACATGATAACATACAAGTACATGATGAATTGTCGATTTGGGCGTATACTAGATAAGTTGCAGTTGCTCAATAAGCTAAAGTAGTACTTGTTATTCGTATCTTAAATTTTTTTTATTGTTAACATTTACTAATAACCTGTTATATAAATGTAAATGTTAACAGCATAGTAAATGTGTTAATAGCTTCGATGAATTAACAATAAGTTGAAAGATCGACAGCAAATTTAAATTGTGCTGAATTATTTTACACAATATTAACCCTTTTATTGTATAGCTCGTACATAGTGAGTTATGGCATTTGTGAAAAATTTGATCCACCATAATCTTTATATAACTTATGACATGAACATAATGTAAGGACAAGTATATTATCAGAGTAGCATTCATATAATACGGATATAATACTATTTTATATAAATATTTAATTTATTACAGGTATAATCAATTAATCAATTCAGTATTTAACTATTTCTTTTTATCCTTCTCGTTTGGTTGCTCTTCTTATCGTGCTATCGATCGTGGTATCTGTGCTATGGTTCTTCATTTCTTCTCGATCTCTTTTTCACATATTTCGTCATAGTTAAGGGGAGCTTCAAGTCATCCGTTAAAATAAAGATGATTTTCGGCAATTTTTTTATAACGTAAAATATTGCCGACACTTATCGTCACTTTCCATACGTATTTTTTGACTCTTCATGATCCATACATCTTTTTTCGTTACATTTTATCGACGTTTACTGAAATAATAAATCTTGTTCTCCATGAATCTCCGGGTCGACGGTATTGATTAGTGTGCGATCTGGCATTTTTCTCCTTCGATTCAGAACAAAAAATAATTTTTTCATAATAGAACAACGCGTCGCATGAACCCAAATCACATTTTTAAAAAATGTCAAAATAATGATAATACGCACTCCGTAAACACGATTAAAATAAAAATTTTAATCAGAAATTGCACCGTTGTTTGCAAAGCTGCGTATTATTATACTTCTGTATTTTTTTTGAAATAAAATTTGGGTTCATACGACGCGCAGTTCTATTATGAAAAAACTGCGTATTATTTTTCGTTTCACATCGAGGAAAAACATCAACAGTGTCGATCGGGAGAACAAGATTTATTATTTCAGTGAACGTCGATAAAAAATATAACGAAAAGAATGTATATATCTAAACATTTCAGAGAATACGCATGGGAAGTGACTAAAAGTCTCATCAATATTTTACGTTATAAAAAAATTGCCGAAAATCGTCCTTACTTTAACGGTTTCCTTGAATGCTCGTTATGTTCAAACTTTATCAGTATATTCTATGGCACGAAGTAAGAAAAAAGTGTTATGTAAACATAGGTCATATAGAGTTTTATAAAGAAGTTATAACAAAAATTCAGAATAGGAATAGTAATCAACTAAAAAAAAATAAAAAATAAAAAAAATCTTCGATCGATATCAATCATGTATTGTCAACAACGGTTGTTAATACATTTCTAAATGTATTAATAAACACAGCTTACATAAACACATGGCATGTGCTGATCTATTCAAGCCAATGCTCGCTGTAACAGCAAGTTGATTACTATTTCTCTCCCTCTCTCTCTATATATATATATATTCTGAATTTTTGTTATAACTTCTTAATAAAACTCTACACTAACAAAGTTTGAACATTAAAACCTGGGACACCCTGTATAACAACAATATAATAAAAAGTCAGAAAAATAATATAAAATAAGAAAATATTAAAGAAAACATTTCTTTTACTTAATTTCACCTTTAAAAGATCTATTATAGTAAAAGAGTTGAAACAGTTGAAAATCATCTTCTATCCAAAACGTTCTCGCAAACGCCAAACTGTTCGCACGTTACTAAACCGCGTTCAAAATAATAGCGTATTTTTCCGTCCAGCAACGACTTCTCGAAGGAAAGATTAACTAGCAACTTCGCGGTCACCCCGTACACATATATATAAACACACTCGAATGTACATAGGTGATTCTTCTAATGTGGGACGCAGCCGAGAATGCTAAATTTAGGGTAGGTTCGAGCAGTCGAATCTCGAATGGTAACCCACGCATGTCGCGGGTGCGTCTGTCGAACGTGCGAATCGGTTGCTCAGGGTCGTGCTGAGAGAGAGAGAGAGAGAGAGACACAGGTTTCGGTGCGGTTTCGCGCGTGTGTGTGTGTACCTCTTATTGTGCCACCCCGGGAAATCGTCGATCTCCGTTTCCGCGGTTCCGCGCGGTCGTCGTTCGCGAAATTTGCCGCGGAGCCGCGAGAATCGCGGTCGATCCGCGAACAATTTTCCGTGTCTCTGGTGTCATCGAACCGCGCGACCACGTGCACAGGCGTCACAATACAAATAAATAGTAAGCGCGCTGGCCGGCGGCCAACGCGCGCCATTGTCGTTGCTGAAATTGGAAATATATACGGCAATCGAGCCGGATAATCGAGCCGGGAATTATCGAATCATCTTTCCCCATACGGCATTACGGAATTTGACCGGTGTCGCGTCCCGTGATAGATAATGCACTATCGCGAAGGACGCACGATTCCGAATCCACGAATCATTCGAGCCTAATTCGGCCGGATAGCTTATCGGTCGCGCTCTCGCGTTTGGAACAGAGGATTCGGCGGGATGAAAACGAGCGATCGCATAAATGATTCGGTTTCACTTTTTCCGCGGAAAAGAATGACGCGATCGTCGGCTCCCTGAACAAGTGGACACTGCGCGATTTCAACGTCGGCCGTTCGTCGTTTTCGACGATCGAGTTCGTTCGTCGACCGCGTTACGACACTACCTGTGTGACTGTTTTCGAGTTCTGACCGCTGTCTATAGGCTGTCTAACGGCGTGACGACATCTGGGTTGTCTCGATTTTTTCAGACGAGTCTCGCGCCCACTTTGCGACCGCCGCGGTCGATGATCTCTTCGCTTTTGTCTTCGCGCGGTTTCAGCTGCCGCAATCTGGTCCGATACCGTTCGAAAGCGCCGTCCTTGCAGCGTACTCTAAGAAAGAGTGTCGCAATTAAAACGTCGATGCGATCGTCGAAACGTTGCGAATCGCGGAACTCGTCGGGAGATTGGTGACAGTTTGGAGCTGAATTTGCATGCTGTCGTCGATCGGCGCGGATCTGTTCGGTCGATCATGTGGGCCCCGGTGATCTCTCTGTTGTGGGCTCTGGCGTATTTGGTGCAACGTAAAGCTGCTGTAAAAAGTGTAGCGTATCCGCCGTCGGTGGACGCAACAGGTAACGAAATCTTTATTACGTTCGGCGAAATGTTTGACGTACGTGACCCCGTTGATGATTTTCGCGTTCGGCGAACTGAATAGCCCGCTGATCGCATTCATTCGGATGTCATTCACACGGAGTGAATGAGACGTGCCGAACGGAACTAATTAAAACGCGACCGGCGACGTTTTGCAATACGGGATTTAATTAATGACCGCGCCGCCGAATCCGTAAAAGCGCAAAAACTGTGACACCGTCGATACGCAATAGTTTGCAGGGAAGAATGTATCGATTGTGCTCTTAGCCATAATTTACGAGGATTTCAGACACACGAAATTGCGTTTCACGGGTTAGCTATTAATGCAAGTAGTTATGCGATTTCTATTGCCATTTCTGCGCTGAATCATGATTTACACGATCCGCTATAACATCGTATCAGGCGCTCTGGAATTCGTTGCAGATTGGAGTCGCAATTCCGAATGTCGTATTAGATAATTAATTAGCAAATAACCGAATCACCGGGATGCTTCTCGTAATCCGTTACATTTACATTTCAATTGGCCGCGCCAATCAAAGAAGACACGGGCAACCGGAATGTAATCGTAATTCAAAACCGCCGGCGTCTGACACTTTGGCACATGGAATCCGATCGCGTTCGCAGCTTTGACGAGGACAGGACTTTGGAAATGTAAATAAAAGCCGGAATTCGCGCGTTCGCGAACTCGCAGACTTGCCTGTTTAGTAGCGTTTATAACGGAAATGATTGGATTAAATGCATAATATTAAGGACGTTTACAGAATTTATGAATACTCTTCTGTTACTTTCAACTCGTTGAAATTATTAGGGAGACAAGTGAATGCGTGTAGCTCCTTACATCTTGATTTTAGTTATCCTCTTCATTTGAATCATCTTCATTTAGGTCAGTTTGAAATACTCTTGGTTTGATTTGGTTTGATTCGAGTTTCTTGATCCTGAGCTGACTTAAATTGTGGATCTTGTAGATCTGAGCTGGTAAAATTTGAAGTGCTAGTCTCGAATTAGGTTCATTCGATCCTGATTCCTTGATCTTGAGCGTGGTTTTCATCTCTCGATCTTAACTCTACGCGTCTCTTGACTTTCAATCGACACGATTCAGCTCTCTTAATCTTGAGCTAGCCTAGTTTCTGCCTCTCGAGTTTAAATATAATTTAGATTCAAGATTTATTTGACGTCATCGAGATAAGTGTAAATATTGAGAATAGTTATTTATTTTGTGATAGAGAAATTTATTAAGCGAAGCAGTATTTTCTTGAATTGTGTTGAAAATAATAATTTGACATAGTATCTCATGTGTCTAAATTTTTTATTAATTATTTGGAATTCTATTTCTTACATTTAATATTTATGAGAGAGAATAAACTTACAGTAAGAGTACAAACACATTGTTTTGGAAAACAAGCTCTTCCTTACGTTTCTCTTAATTAGTGAATGTAATTGGAGCATTTAACATCTGTTTGCTTCGAACAACGTATAATACATATCTCAAATAATACATAATGTAAAATTTCATAGAAAATAATATTCAAGTATTTCATGTGACGCACAATAAAGAAAATATTTATTTCAACGAAGTATTTCAGGTTCATATTGTAAAATATATATTTTAAATACTTATTATATTTTCGTAAAATCAATGAAGTGTTTCAGCTAATATCTTATTGAGTACAAAAATAAATTACTACTTGAAATGAAGCGTATGTAACACCTGTCTCTTATACACATCTAGATGTGTATAAGAGACAGGTGTTACATACGCTTCATTTCAAGTAGTAATTTATTTTTGTACTCAATAAGATATTAGCTGAAACACTTCATTGATTTTACGAAAATATAATAAGTATTTAAAATATATATTTTAAATACTTATTATATTTTCGTAAAATCAATGAAGTGTTTCAGCTAATATCTTATTGAGTACAAAAATAAATTACTACTTGAAATGAAGCGTATGTAACACCTGTCTCTTATACACATCTAGATGTGTATAAGAGACAGGTGTTACATACGCTTCATTTCAAGTAGTAATTTATTTTTGTACTCAATAAGATATTAGCTGAAACACTTCATTGATTTTACGAAAATATAATAAGTATTTAAAATATATATTTTAAATACTTATTATATTTTCGTAAAATCAATGAAGTGTTTCAGCTAATATCTTATTGAGTACAAAAATAAATTACTACTTGAAATGAAGCGTATGTAACACCTGTCTCTTATACACATCTAGATGTGTATAAGAGACAGGTGTTACATACGCTTCATTTCAAGTAGTAATTTATTTTTGTACTCAATAAGATATTAGCTGAAACACTTCATTGATTTTACGAAAATATAATAAGTATTTAAAATATATATTTTAAATACTTATTATATTTTCGTAAAATCAATGAAGTGTTTCAGCTAATATCTTATTGAGTACAAAAATAAATTACTACTTGAAATGAAGCGTATGTAACACAGTTCAGAGAAATAATATTTGCAAGTATTTGTGTTTTTTAGTTGAAATATTTTTACTCAAGTCTGCTCATTAGACTGTGGATTTTTATGTAAAATAAAAATTTCCAACACAGTTGTAAGAAATATAAATTGAATAGAAATAAATAAATAAATAAAATAAAAATATATAATAAAAATATAATAAATAATAAAATAAATATATTGTTTTAATAATTATTTCTTTTAATAATTCAGATAAATTGACAACAGGTTAGCAATATTATTAAATTCTTCATATCTCTTCACAATTTTACTTTTTAACCACATATTTTTGCCATAAACGCATAAAATTCGCAGACCTACTGATCACGTTCAAGCTTCCCTGCCCTCATTTAACCAATATATATCGAGTCATTCAACTTCGAATCAATCTACTCCAGCCTAATTTAGTCTCATTCAGTCTCGTGAATATTGAATGATTTTCACTTTCATCTTGAATTCGAGTCAACCCTGGTCCCATGTTTCAGAGATGATCAGAGGTTCTCTTGGTTTACGGTTTCCTCTTAATCGCGTCTTTCAGCGTCGCGTTACCTCCTCTTTAACCTTCAGATAGGAGATTAAAGTGATAGGTGAATCAAGGCGATAAATTATCCTAGTAACAGGTCTAAGGTTTGACACAGAGTTCTATGAATAAATTAACGTGTGCAATGTGCAAGATCTGACACGCACATATGAGAGGACATATATTCGCTTCGCGAACTTGATAAGTAGATTAGCATAACAAATATTTTAGGGGTTCTATTACCCCGGCGGCGTGCCTAATTAGAAATTTAGATGCAGCATAGTCTGAGATACTAGCAAGAATCGGTAGCTTTTGGTAATTCCATAGGCGTGGCGAATTTTTCGGATCCGTTTCGTGGGCATTTTATCGGCTCGGAGTTACATTTTATCGAACACGCTCTCTTCGAGAACAACTTTTTTAAATTTATATAAAAATTATCACAGTATTATTCACAACAATATTTACACTGCTGAATCTGTTTGTATTCATTAAATCGTTACAAACTTAAATGTGGCACGAGTAAGAGCGCTTACCGTCGGGAATATCAATTATCCAATTGTGCGATCAGCATAAATGAATTTGTTGGCATTGCGAAATGAAATGAAGATCGAGGTGTCCGTTCGCATGCATTTCCAAGCACTCGTTGCAACGTGTAATTAAATTGTACGTATTATGGACGATGTATTACATCAAACTAATTAAATGTTGCATACATTAAAACACATTCCCGCATTCTTATCGTATTAGCTTTAACATTTACTTGCACATTTAATTTATCAGTTTGTATGTCTACCAGTTACTTCCTTCCGTAATTCTATAATTGATGGAGGAGGGAAATTCGTCGTGTTAACTCTAATGTTAACTTGCACATAAACGAAATGGAAACGGCGACATAAATGAAAATATTGAATGGTTTCGTGTGCGGAGGGTCAACACGCGAAATAGCCATTTCTCGACGACGAGTATACTCGTCAACTAAGTGGTTAAACTGAGTCGACCTGAAACTACCACTTTCAGCATCGGCGGAAAATGTCGCAAGCGCTCGAGACAGTTATGTAAGGACCTCGGGGCTAAATGATCTCAGGTGCATCGAGTGCCTGGACGGGGTATAATCGTGTCAGAACGAGCCGTCTAAGAGGTGCTCGGCCAGTGGTCAGATTCTAGACACGCATCGACGGAGCTGATCTAAAATATTCGCAGCGAATTGGCACCGTGTAAGACTTAGCTGCCCCAATGGACGGATTAGCATAACGGAAAAGTCCGAGACCGAAGATCCCGCCGATAAAAATTGGCATGGCAAACTTCTCGAGAGCACCACCTGGCAACTAGAACGTCCGGATCCCAGATTCCAGACAGAATTCTACGAATAAATTGGCATCATTAAAAGTTCGGGACGGCTCTCGCGCCTGTTGCATTAGCATAGCAGAAAATCCCAGACGGTGTTTGACGAATGGATTGCCAATAACCAGAGTCGTCGATCGACTTATATTTGTTTGCAGATCGGCTGCTCGTCATCGACGGTCCCTCGGTGTTCCCGAGCAGCTGACGCCTCCAACTATTCTCATTCACTCTTCCTCATTCCGTTCTGGTCTTCCTCTCTTTTTATTCTTCTTCTTCTTCCGGTTCTGCGGAGCTTCTTCTCTCCGTCAGCACTCGCGTCCGCGCGCAGTGGTCTGGGAATTCGCTTTCGGCGGCTTAAATTATTTCAGCGTTGTTTCGAGGTTCAAGGTTGTAACATAGTAGGCCGTTGAATTCGTCCCGACACCAGCTAGAATATCATCGAGTCAACAATTATGCAACAATATTTAAAAGATCAAGGTGACCAGTACTTTTTTTATTAAACAAAATTTTTCTGGCAATTTTTTATATTTCGATAGAAAAAGTGAATACTGACCGATTTTTGTTGGAAACATTCTTTTGCCAGATCATGGAAAATGTCTGAAAAATCGTGGATTACTTTGAAACTGGACACGAGCG